AGGGTTCTTTTTCCCGTTGTGACGGGTCGAGTGGTGGAGGGAGGAGCGCGTCGGTGAGACGACAGGCGATATACGAGTAAACGAGGAGGCCAGATATAACATAAGAAAACGTAACAATTTATTAAACCAAGTAATACAACGTATAGTTCGCGTCCCTAAAACGCGGGGAGACCGAGAGAGAGCTTACAATAATTGGTTCCATACCTCTTGATCTGTTATCCACGCTACTCTTTGAATTAGGAAAATTTCTCTTCTAGGAAAGTTCACTGATGTAGGAAAGGTCACTGTTTAACTATTTGAATCCTGGATTTAGGGAAGTTCACTAGACAAAAAGGACACTATTTGAAATTGGTCTTCTTCCGGCACCTGCTCCGGTACGACTCCCCCGAGAAGGGGAAGGAAGGGGTTTTTATAAGTTCGGCGTGGGAGAATGGTCACGTGATTGATTGTTGTGAGGTAAAAGGTATGTAGATGGGTCATGCTAACTATCAACTTTGGCGTTGGAATGTGGGATTAGTTTCAAATTGAACGGATGTTTATGTCGAATGTAACGAAAAGTTTTTTTTTCCGTTAGGTTTCACTTTAGGTTAAAGAAAAATTTAATTAGATTTTAAGCAAATACAGGATAATAAATCAATAAATAGTCGATAAAAATTCCGAATCTCACATAATAAATATTTGAAGTCGTAACTTCTCTACTGCTAACAAAAAATTTTGTATTAAATATGTTGCATAGAGGAAAAAAATATTAATTTAAAAGCTTGTTTAATAATTTTTAATGATAAATTCTTTTCAAACAAAGTTATATCACATTATCAGTTATCAAAAATAAGTTATTATTTTTGTAGAAGACAGAAATGTTTAAATACTTTAATCAAGGTGTTCATATGTTATAATAAACTATGAGATAAACATAAAAGAGAAACAATTAATAAAAAGTTTTGAAATTTAAATACTTCATATTAAACATTCAATAATAATAATAAACTACTTTCAACTAAATAATAATAGTAAATATACTTAATTAATAGAACTTTTAAATCGTGTTTAAACTTCAACACAATTTAATAAGATGCCAGGTATCTATATTTTAAACATGTTAAACATTATAGACTTAATAAGACAGTAGAAACAGTTTAAATTATTAAACAAAGAGAAACATTTTCTTAACATCTCAATTAGAATCTCATATTACTAAGCCTTATTGCCATATTTTACTCAATATGACATATTATAAGGCTTTAAACTTCACATATAAATTATTATAAAGTAATATTTATAAACAAGTTAAAAGCTTTTCATAGTTTTAATAATAATGATTAATAATATAAACTAAAAAAATATAAATTGCCATTTTAAAAAAAAACTATTAATAATAATAAATAAAGTGAAATGAATTACTAAATTTGTAATTCGTATAACAATAACACAGGCTAAAATTCAGGCATTTTCTGTCATTCCTTTAACTCGTTTCCAAAATTCGCATAGAATTCCGGTTAAAATAAATCTGTCAATATTCTTACCAAGCATATATACGATGGACCAATCTCCTACAGACAATGGCTTAATTAAAAATTCCAAATACTTTTCCCGTACAAGCCTGTAACGTATGGATAAGATATACAATCCCATCTTTCCACTTATTATTAAAATAATACGGTATATGACAGATATGCCACTCAATAAAATTAAAATGATAAACTAAAACCATAAAAATATAAAAATCTTTTCGTTAATTACATTTAAAGGTAACATACACAAATTATCAATTTTTATTATATTACCGGACGATCCATAATAGTAAAAAAAAAAAAACATTTGCTCATCCTCTGAAACGTTTCTAGCATTAGATTTATTACAGAATTATCATCGTTCATGTTATATTTAATTACTTCTATTCCGTAATTTAAGAATTCGCCATTTAAAAATACATTAACCATGTGAGACTAATCGGGGGTAGGATGTTTACGAGGATGTGACTCTCCTACCACTTACTCGACTCAAGACCTTGAGGTCCCGTCTCGCTTGTCTAAAGGATGGGAGAAAAGGGTTAGGAGAAAGGATCGTTAGATTCTTTCACCTGTCAGGATCTGACACCAATCTATTAATTTATCGCGGATAGATGGGGGGAATTATCACGAGCGATCTCGTCGAGGAGTTCGGGTTCAGTATGGAGGTGATAATGGTGAAAGAAATGCACTCCAATCTTTCGTTAACAAAATACCCGTTTATTCCGTACATTTATACATAGTTAATAATTGGAATACAAATCTCTCTCGGGATTTTCAATCAGTATAGTTCATAAAGTAACGGCAAAGTATAAAGTAGTCGCGGCCCTAACTGCGAGGTTGGAATATTCGACAGAGAGCTTACATATCATCGCGAGTAGAAGAAATACCTCTAGTTATACAGGATGGTGTTTTCAGGACGATCTTGGAGTCCGAATCCCGGGCTCGTTAAAATAGTTCGTGAGTCGACAAAGTCCGCAAATCGTAGAATAGTTCTATCGAGGATGGTGGCGACGAGAGGCAGGTAATTCCCCCCCACACACACAGAGTACAGAACAATAACTTTTTCCCCCCTGTGTCGTCATCGCGCTTGTCTTTTATATGGGGGCTCTCTTTTCGAGATTTCCCCATGTACGTCACAGATGATGATCTTTGTTGACCAATGGTGGGCGAAGTGACAAAATTATGACACAACAGTTAACTCATCTTCTACAGGGAAGTATTGTCGTGGAAACGGAATTTTTATGAGAAAATTTGTCGGTTGTTTTTCCCTTTTTGTGTTAACCCTAACTTTAAAACTCGGTTTGATTTTGAAACAAAACGGTAAATGAAGGAACAAAAATGAATATAACTACTCGAATCTCGCCCTCTTAAATCCTGGCCCTCACAACCAAATACATTTGAGAAATGGCATTAATTAGACACAGTAACGAAGCAAAGTAACGAAGAGAGTAACAATCGTGACATCCCATACTTTCGTGTAGAAACTTAACTACGACAGCAATATTTTCCCGCTTCTGAGTTTCTTCGTACATCATGTTGTCACTCTTCAGACTCAAAGCTTGAATTAAGCCACCTTCGCAGTGTTTCCACATCCGTCTTGGCACGTAGAAGACGGCAGACTGAAAAAACAGGAAGAAGCAAACCCATTGATAATACGTATGCTGATAGAAATGCTCTTGGTTTTCATATTTTGAATTGATTTTGGGAAAAATTCTTTTCTCTTTGCTCATATTTGGCTTCTTTACTGTAAATGTGCCGTGAATCCAACAGTAAGTATCCATCACGTGTTTAGCGATGTTTTTTGTGTTAGGGTTAAGGTCTTTTATCATTATCTTCAGTTTCGATATGCTAACGATAATTCGTCCGTTCACAGCGCAGGATAGGATGACAAATTATACATACCAGCAATGTCTTCAAAAATACTTTATTGAAGTTATTGATAAGGACATAAATAACAAAGCAGTTGACTGCACAGAGAAAAGAACAAGAAGAAAAAACGAAACCGAAACTAACAAAACGGGGATATTAATTTTAAATAACGGGACGAGATCTCGCACTCTTCTCGCCAGCACTATTGTTGAGTTGTTAATAAACACGGATGTCTAACATCCCGCACTAACTCCGAACACGATGAATGCATATTTAATGCACATCTATGGGTTTCAAATCGAGGTCTTGGCAGAGGCTTTGTAAAAATGTCAGCGACCATTTCTTGCGTTGGACAATACACAACTTCAATTATATTCTTTCTTTGTAAATCTCTGACGTGATGATACTTTGTGTCTTAGTCTTGAATGGTGTTTTTCACTTTGTGAAAGTTTTATTGTTGCTTGATTATCTTCTATAATTTTGACTGGCAAAATTTGTTTTAGCTCAAGTTCTTCTGTCAGATGTAAAACCCATAGTAGTTCTTGCGTTGCACTTGCTAAAGAAACATATTCCATAACCGGAAAGTAAGTTCGTTTTTTTACCACTAGACGGATTAGTGGTATTTTTCCCGCCATTTTCGTTTTAAACTGTATTATCATTATATATTTTGACAGCTAGCATTTTATGGCTTATTTGTAAAAAATTTTGTTTGATTTCGTGCAATTGTTTATTTTTTGTATCCCATCAAATATGGAAGATCGAAAGCAGCATCTTTGGCATATTTTGCTTTTTTATTACCAAAAAAATAAAAATGCCGTTCAAGCAAGAAAAAAAATCGTGTGACATGTATGGTGGAGATGTGTTGACAGAACGACAGTGCCAAAACTGGTTTACAAAATTTCGTTCTCGCAATTTCAGTATTGAAGGTGCACCACGTTACGGATGGCCAACTGAAGCCAATGAAAACAAAATAAAAGTACCGATTGAAGCAAACTGCCGAATAACAACACGTGAAATCATTAAATTTGTCAAATTGAACTGTTTTATGATTACTTGAAACAAATTAATTTCGTTTTTAAGCTTGATATATGGGTTCTACATGTTCTTAAAGAGAAATGCTCTATTTGGTGGGATATTAAGGAAATTTTTTTGGAGCTTTTACCAGATAATTTAACAATTGATTCGAAAGTGTACTGCATTCGAGTAAACAAATTGCGTAATATCATCAAACAGAAAAAGCCAGCCAGAATTGATAAAAAAAAGCTGTAGTGTTTTACCACAATAATGCCAAATTTCACACAAGTTTGGTAACTCGTCAGAAACTGTTATAACTTAGATGGGAGGTGCCATATTCACCAGATCGAGCAAACTCAAATTATTACTTGTTCCTATCTATACACTTTTTTTTAAACTGTAAGACATTTACTTGAAATGACAATGTCAAAAATCACTTGGATCGGTTTTTTGTAAGCAACGATCAAAACTTTTATGAATGTGAAATCGTGCTACTATCAGAAACGATGACAACAGGTATTTGACCAAAACGGTCAACATATAATACAATAAAATATATATTTATCATAAGAATATTGCGTTTTTTTCCACGGGAAAAAAACGAACTTACTTTCCGAACAACCCAACTATAGATAGTGTTCTTATACGGCTGGAAATGGTCGGTAAATTTAGCTAAGATTTCATCCACTGTCGGATTCGTTGCATTTTCGTCTAAATGGAAATTATTGTATATTTCTAAGCCTTTTTCTCCGATAATATAGAGCATGATGGTTCTCTGCTGTGGAATACTTTTTGCAGGTAAATCTGTAGCCATTGCATAAATCTTAAATCGCTGCTTCCATAAAATCCAATTTTCTGGATTCGACGTGTCCATGGAAAATGGTTCCAGAGGAGTTAAACTATTCATCTCGCTTTTTAAATAAATTATATTTTTTTTTTGGTACTTTAAAGTAATCGTTATATTAGTATACAAAGGAGACTGTCTGGCTGCCGCAGCATCAACCTTTGAACGAAGTTTCTAATTACTTGTTTAGTTAAGCTGGCACGTGTTCGTTAAGCCTCGTTTCCTTTACTGGCTTAATTATCCGCTGCCACCATGTTTTTATATAATTTACTTTGTTTTTACACGCCGTTCGTGACGCACTTAAAACCCTCCCGTAAGACAGGAATACAAACACTGAATACTTTATTCAGAGTTCTACTTGGACCGGACGATCTCCAGTCGCGTACATTAATCAGGGCCGTCTGTCTTGCACGTGATGTTCTCTCTCTGATGTTGCCAGATCTTTCCGTAACACTTTATATGCAGCTGCAGCGAAAACTGCTCTAATACGAGTTGCTGTTAAAGTCAGCGCTTTGCTATCGCTGCAGCTAAAGTGTTGTTAAACTGTTGGCTGCTCACCGCTTTACGTAAAGCAAACGCTTGAGTTCGAGGATATTTTTACAGCGCTAGAATGAGGTGGTTTTTCTGCTACAGCAAAATGGCGGAAGAATTCGAGTTTATTATTGAAAACAACAAATTTAAAGTTTGTGTAGACGAGAAGACAGCATTTAAGATAAAAAACGGTAAATATTAATTATATAATTTTAAAATTATTTTATAAATATTTGTTAGTTTATTTAATAACTTTGTTTTTAACTAGATTTTGTTGGTTTTATGTTTAAAAAAATATTATTTTAAGCATATACTTTAGGGGAGAGTATCCAGAGCGAGACGTGCTCCACACTGAAAGAAATCGTTTTAAAATTTGTACATTTAATTTAAACCTATATCATACTTCAATCATTGATATTTAATTACTTTGTTATATGGAATTAAATATTTGTATTAAAATATTATGTACTGATATATACTTTAAAATGTTTTAATCTTTGGAAATTGCTATACTTAAAATAATCTTTTTCGTAATCTTTAACTTTAGATCCTACATTTGCTCAGCAGTATGGATTAGAACTTGCAAATAAAATAAAGACAAAACCTGAAGAACATACACTGGTGGAGTCTAATAAAAATTTAGAAAGTAATATAAATTCAGGTATTCAAAGAAATGTGACTGTCAGAATTACTGTCATTGTTAATTTACAGTGTAATTTATATAATTTTTATTTTAAAACAGTTCCAAGTAGGGGAGAGTGGGGCTAAAAGTTCCCGTGGTAAGTTGTTCCGATTGAAATAGTTTCATAAGGAAAAAAAATCATAATAATTAGTAAATACGTCATGAAATCGAATGTTTCTGCGCATCGACGGCAGCCATCTTAGTTAGGCCAGTAACGTCCAGTACATTGGAAAAGAAACCTGTACGTCGCTGATCCACGTAAGTAAATATTTTCGTGTTTGATATTTTTGGTATATCTGGCGAATTTAAATAATTAGCGATTAGTTGTTTGGTTTTTTTATTCAAAAATATATATGGTGTCTTGATATAAATGCTAAAACCGTGTATGTCTCGTAACCTAATCTAGTAGTTGCTGTTTTGAACCCATGTGTTATTGGGGCTAGATGTTCCCTTCTTTGGGGGCATGTTGTGACCTTGGAACAACTTGCCCCAGTTCATCTGTACTGGCAATGCAGTAAAAATACAGTAATATATTTTTTTTCTTTTACAGTATGCGAACTTATATTCGAAAAACAACACGAGGTTCTGTATCTCAGGAGTTGATGCAAAGAGCTGCAGATGCAGTTATTAAAGATGGTAAAAAAATAAAAACTGTTGCCAGAGAATTAGATATTTGTCATATGACGTTATACAGATTTGTAAAGAAGTTGAAATCTGGAGTAGAAAACGCTGTGGTTGGCTACAAAAAAGTAAGATTGGTCTTTAGTGAAGAACAGGAAAACAAGTTAGCAGAATATTTGTTAAAATGTGCAACAATTTTCTTTGGTCTTCTACCAGAGGAAGTGCGAAAATTAGCATATGAATGTGCACAGAAATTCAACGCCTCTGATATTCCACCATCTTGGCATGAGAATAAAAAAGCTGGTCCAGATTGGCTGACTGGTTTTTTAAAGAGAAACCCTCAACTCTCGATTAGAGCCCCGGAATCGACAAGTGCTAGCAGAGCATCATCTTTTAATAAGCACAATATTAACGAATTTTTTACAAAGCTAGGCACAGTGTTGGATAAATATAAATTTCCGCCCTCGAGAATATATAATTTAGATGAAACTGGCGTTACAACAGTGCTAAAGCCAAAGAAAATTATTGCCAAAAAAGGAACTAAGCAAGTTGGAGCTATAGTATCTGCAGAACGAGGTTCATTAGTCACCGTAGAACTGGCAGCAAATGCATTAGGACACACAGTTCCTCCAATGTTTATTTTCCCTTGACTTAAATACAAGGATTTATTTATCAAAGGTGGACCACCTGAATCCATTGGTGCAGGAAATAGCTCTGGATGGATGACAGCTGTGGAGTTCCTCATATATATGGATCACTTCATCAAACACATCAGACCATCACCTTCAGATCCAGTTTTGTTATTGCTTGATAATCACCAATCTCACGTCGATATCAATGTGGTAGAAAAAGCGAAATCTAACTCCATTGTAATGCTGTCATTCCCGCCTCATTGTACACACCGTCTGCAACCATTGNTCCGAAAATTCTACGGTAGTTTACATTTAGTAGTAATTTAATAATTAATTAACCCACGGTTACGCGCGCGCAGTTACTCTCGCACGGTAAAGCTCGCGGGGTTCGATTTCAGGGCTGTTTCAAAATTCAATTTTTCAAAACTCATAGTTTTTTTCGCGATTTTTTCATTTTGGATGTTTGTAGGCATGTGTTTTTGATGTATTAGTGAAGAAAACTACTTCAAATATATCGTTTTTATTTATTCGTAACGAAAAACAGAAAGTCTCCCGTTTTTAGAAATTTTTCAAAAAAAATTGGTCGACTTCNAGAAAACTACTTCAAATATATCGTTTTTATTTATTCGTAACGAAAAACAGAAAGTCTCCCGTTTTTAGAAATTTTTCAAAAAAAATTGGTCAACTTCAAGAGTGCATTTTACAAACTGTAAACAAGTCTGATGCTATCTAAGCTGTCAATCGTCTTCCTGCATGTGTTTTCTAACTATTACAACAATTAAATTCTTTGTACGAAGCCCCGGGCCAAAAATATCTCAATTTTCCAAAAAAACACCATGTAAAATCACACAGCAAGTAAAGATAAAAATGGAGATTATTGGCAGATAACATCGATAGTAAACTTCTTTTGCACTGTAATTGGTTAATTTATATGTCTGTTATTAGATCGACCTATAAAAACAATTGCTGGAAATATTCCCGCGAAATGCCACGCCCCCGAAGGCCACCACATGGAAGTATGTAAACAATCGCTATAAAATCGCGTGTTTTAATCTTTTTTTCCACTTCTAATTTGCTAATAATAAGTCGCTTGACATTATTTAGACGAATAAACATGTTTTCAACACCATTTAGCAATAAATATCGCCAAAAAACGCCACCTTTCAAACTGTCAATGTTAACAAATTGATTAAAAACCTACTACTGTGAGGTAGGAATAAGGACTTATCACACCAGTGATAATAAGCACAAACACTCAAAATATCAATGGGATACATTTAATAAAACGAGAATGGGTGTACATTACAAACTATTAAATTAATAATTGACATGAAATGTCAATTATTAATTTGTCAAGGGCTAAAAGCAATTTCCTTTATGTCAATGTTAAGTCTATGGGAAACTTTTTTGCCGTTTATTGGCTTTAAAAATCCTGTTTTTACGCCTTTTATGCTCTAATTGGTCATTTCTATCATGACTGACTCTATATCAACCAATAAGCTTTCCCTCAAAACACAAAGTCAGATCGGCCCACCTCCGTTAGTCGCGCGAAAAAAAATTACACCGTTAGGCGCGCGGGGTACTATAGCACCCGACTGATTTTCGTTGTAAGTCTATGCAAAAAATTTTTTTCGTGCAAATTTGAGATTTTTTCGGTGCGATCTTCACACCATAAAAGGAAGGTACTGAGGGCATCATTTTTAAGCACAAAAAATTTTTAAAAATACACGCGTTTAAAGACCCCGGGGGTTCTATATAACCCCGCGCGCCTAACCGTTGGAAATGATTTAATATTTTATCGTATTTTGTTATTTGAAACGTCTGTCATGTTGAAGTAGGGACTTGCTGTGACGTCACATAGATCCAAGGTCATGCTAACAAATATACGGGATCTGGCTATCCTTGTTAGTTTAAAGTCCTTGGTTCAATACCCTGCCTCTATCATAGATCCATTCATCGCGCCAGAAGGGGGCGTTATTGCTTACTTTCGGGTTGTTGTTAAAGTCAGCGCTTTANTAAAATTACTTTAAAAAATGGAAAATAATTATATCATTTGATTTCAAGATATTTTGTATACCTTAAAAATAATTAATTCTATCCCGGGATCCCGGGAAACAGTTCACTTTTATCCCGGAATCCCGGGACAAGCAAAAGACCGGGAAATGAGAAACCCTAGTATGTATGTACTGTACTGTACTGTACAGTACAACATGCACATATATGTATAGTAAACAGGTAAATTATTTTATTATTTTTCATGATAAATATTTCACATTACTTCATATATACATAAACTTGTAAAAATGCAAAAATAATTGCTTTTGTGTGATAATAAAGTGTTTATATTTTTGCAACAGTTTATATAAACTATGTCCTAGAATTAGTTTGGTTTATTTGGTTACGGTAACACGACACGTGAGTTATCTGTCGCAGTAATTAAATGAATATAATATATATATTTTAAATTATATCCTTTTTTTTAAAAAATAAGAATTACATTTAGTTTATTGTTTTTAAATTTTTTTGTCAATAGATGGCGCTACGCGTAAACCCAGTAAGTGGAACATAGATAAATTGATATAAAAAAATATAATTAATATTTTGGGGTAATATTCATGACATTATCTAAGTTAGAAGTATGTTAACGTAACTACCGAGTTTCGTAGAAACTGGTCGAACGGTCTATGTGTGCATAGCGAACAAACAAATATCCTCATTTATATATATATAGATTAGTACCTATAAAGCTAATTATAATCATTTATCTAAAAATTATGGCTAACCAGTGGCCAAACGGTTCCTTCCCCGAACACTGGAAGTTCGGGCGTGGAGTTTTCCAGGTTTTCTCCGTCTGTAAGGGCCAATTACCCTTAAAAAAGACCTCCCTAGATAGTTCGCCCAAGTGTTACGTTGCCTTAACTTAACAAACATCTAAAATTTATTCTTATAAAACTGTATAACCTTAAAGTCTTTTTAAAATTAAATATAAAAAATAATTATTAAATGCAGTAATAAAAATTTTGTCAGGAAATCATTAATGGCTCATTAACATATTTAATATTATAATAAAAAGTTGTTACCGTTGTTATTTAACATTAAAGACATAATTTTGTTGCAATTTACGTTGTAATTTGACAACAGATGGCAGTAGTTATCAATATGAATTCAATAATAATTTTTGAAAAATGAATGGGAAGTTGCATATATTGAAGCATTTTTATAGATATAAAAAGATTAAATCTCATATTCTTAAATTAAAACTCGTTTTTTCTTTGTCCTCTGGAAAATGAGCCGAATGTTAACGACTTTTTAAACCGCATAAATGATAACCCATAAGGGCTGACCCTTAAACTTGATTAGTTATCTACACTTCTTAGACATCAGCATTCGTCTCAACGGGTGTATATTAAAAACCCTGCTTTTTGCCTTTGTTCATACTGGCATACTCGACCGACCCTTATTCATAAAATTGCAGCCTTCCATGCGTTAACTAGGTGCGTTTACGCACCATTCCAAATGGGAGGACGGAGTAAGGGAGCTAAAACATCTCGAGGACATTGCGATAAGGCACAGATACAGAAGGAACCTAATTTCTGGTTTAGCACGAGCATTCTCCAATAGGCCAGGCACAGCACCCCTACTACCCAAAGGACCACCAACCCGAACTTGGAATCGCGACCCTAACTCCAGACACACCGTAATAGAATAAAACCAACACTTACATACCTTATATAAGGAAATAGCGGGTAAAACAGGTACCAAACTGGCTTACAAAAGGTTACACTTTATTAAGAAATGCGAAGGTGATCTTAGAGCCCCTGGTGTGTACAGTTGTTCCAGTGAGGGACGACAGATTCCAGAGGGATTTGGTGTACATTGGTTCCACCAAACGTTCCATTCAAAAGAGGGTGCGGGAGCACAAGTACGATATTGACAACAAAAGGCACACCACTGCTCTATCCACTTACGCCACGGACCCAAAAGTGCACACGGACCTACCTAACACCAGACTAATAAAACGGTCCTTTCATACCGACCACATTAGGGCCCTGGAGGCCATAGAAGTTTCATGAAATAAACAAATATTGTAAAATTGAATGCCACGAAAATGTCCATACACAGAACAACTTACGTAAACAGTGCTAAATTCCTCATTTTATATGCACATATAGGCATTGATTGCATCATTTACCTGTCCAAAAGTCTTATTTGTATTTTAAAGCCAAAGAAAGAAATGTTTAAATATTTGAAATAAAGAAAAATCTTATGGACAAACATCCCAAGTGTTTCAAAAAAAGTCGAGCGAGTGTTCAGAAAATAATTTGGAAGACAAATGTTCAGAAAATTAATTTTTCAAGGCTCGATCAGACGGCCAAGAATACTGACCGTTACAGACAGACATTCACTGCCTTTGAAAAACTATACAAGCCAATCTTAAATAATATGAGGTTGTCAGAACAAATTCATCAAGCTCAAGTTGCTCATCCCGAAACCATAAGATATTTTAGGTTTGCCCGCTGCCATGGTAGAGTGAAAGGGGGGAGAACTATTTAATCAATACACTGGGATACTTCTAATAAACACACATCCTACAAAAAGTTTATTAAATCAGATACAATAGAAAATTTTGGGCAATTTGTAGTGTCTAAATTACGGACATCGAATGTGCAAGAAATGATCTTATATGACAAAGCTAATAGGAAAATGCAGGAAATTTTGCTAGACACTTGGGACAAGATATACTCTCAGCCTGTGTCTAGTCCTTCTTTAGCATTATATTTCCAGTCTGTCAATCTGCAATTTTGAGAGATAATTTTCAACAAAGAATTGAATAATATCTTCAGGAAAATGGAGATTCTTTGAACATTTGCAACAGAAGAAAACTGAACCCGTGTTAATTAAGCACTCCACTAAAAGCTTAATTAACACGAAAAATTTAAAAGGTGAACTCGAAAACATGTGAAAATCAACCATACCCAAATCACAAGCTTTGATGGCATACCATATTTTGGCACAATAAATGGCTTTATTACATTTAAGAAAATAAATTTGACCCCACTTTCAACATTAACTACAATTAATTGAAACAATTTCGAGAAATTTTCTATTTTCGTCACAACAGCGAATGTTTCTATATATATAAATGAGGATGTTTGTTTGTTTGTTCGTTCTCTATGCATAGGCCGTTCGACCGATTGCTACGAAACTCGGCAGTTACGTTCAAATAATTCTAACTTAGATAATGTCGTACACCCTACCCAAAATTATCGATTGGATTTCTATATATCGATTAATTTCTGTCTACATTCGATTGCTGGCTTTACACGTAGCGCCATCTGTTGGCAAAAAATTTAACAAAATAATTAACTAAATATCTTCTACAGAATGTGATAAAAAGTGGCGAAACCTTTTATCAACATACAGAAGAAATAAAGATAAAGCAAAAAATAAAACTGGGGAAGGGGCTATAACCTGGCCCTACTTTGATCTTTTCAATGCTGCAATAGGTTGTAGGCCTGACGTTACTCCTTCTCCAGAAACATTAATAAGTTCTTTACCAGAAAAAAATTGCAGTGCTACTTCAAGCACTTCTTCCCCTCCTCCAGTAGAGTTGTGTTCAACAAGAAGCAACACATCTAGTCTTCCTCTTTGTAGTATAGAAAATTTTAAAAAAGCATCAAAAAGGAAAGCAAATGAACCACCACTGTGGTTTTCACAGTATTTAGAAAAGCGTGAAAAGATTGAGAAAGAGAGAGAGGAGAGAGAAAACAAACGATGGGAAGAATTTAAAGAAATTGAAGAAAAAAGATTACAGCAAGAAAGGGAAAACGAAGAAGAAAGAAGGAAAATGATGCAATCATTAATAGATATTTTGGATAAAGTTACAAAAAAATAGACTAGCCATTTACTGTATATATTAACTTCATTATATTAAAAATTTGCTGCAAAAACCAATAATAAACAATTAAGTTTGTATATCAGTGTTTTTTTTTTATTTATGCAAACCCATTTTTATACATTTGATATGAGATAGTGGCAAACATTGTAATGTTTTAAGGTTCCCCTCTTCAGTTAGTGATGCAAATACAATTAAACTCATTTTGCAAAGAATAGAATTCTATCTTGTTCGTGCACAGAATTTAGAAATACACACAACCTATGGTACAAATGCTTTAAAAAATCTTAATACTATTTTCATACTTAAAAAGAGAAGAGACACAAATAGAAGTAAAAGAAATTCAAATGTGTCAACAGGAAGTAGCATTTTATGAAATCTTTTATAAATGTACAGTATTAGAAAAATTTTTGTAAAAAAATACTTCACAGGATACTTTGTGTTCTTTGCAGAAACAAATTCAATTTAACTAAATTACATAGACATGTTTGAAATGAACTGTTTAAATCTTGTTACAAATTCATATAAAAAGTTCAAGACTAACTGCAAGAATTTATTCTGGAAATTTTTTACTTTATTTTTCCAGTATTAAATGCATTTTGAAGAAACTATGGTACAGATGATATCTGTTTCAATGGTTTTATTTATTATTACTACAAGTAGCTTCTTGTAGTAGTAAATAAAACCATTGTGCAAATGAAGGGTGAAAAGGTATAGCTACACCATTTCACCCTTCATTTGCACAAAGTTAGTTAAGCAGTGTAGGATGGCAAATCTATTTAACACAAGACCAAAGTGTTCAAAAACTCAAACACATATTAATAAAAATATTAATGATTTTATTTAAAAATTTTAATCAGTTTCAAATATTGTATTAAAAACATAAATTTTGTCTAGTCTCCTCGTCATTGTATCCTTACACTAGATTATCACTTTCTTGTGAATTGTCTCCTATACTACTACTTTGTAGTCTCATGACACCATAAAGATAATCAGCAATAGCATCCCTCTTATTATTTGCTGCATTAGTTGAATGTTGGCTTGGGTGAGGCTGGAAAGGAGTGAAATGTTTATCCTCATCTGGACTAACATCACTTTGTAGAATACAAAGATTATGTAAAACACAAGCAGTAAGAAGAATTTTAGTCAAGTATTGCTTGTTTCTTACGAACAAAAATTTCAGTCGACGAAAGCGTCCAAACAGGTCACCATATGCTTGTTCTATTACTATGCGAGATGAACTTAGTCTTTTATTAAAATATTTCTGTTTGGAATTCAGATGTCCATTGTCCCTGTAAGGAACCATCAAATATGTCTCTAGTGGGTATGCTGAGTCACCAAGTAAATGGCAGTTCTCTGGGAGTGGGAGAGTTTTATTTAATAACCCAATCCCTACATCACTGTTTCGCCACACCCTTGCATCATGTGCAGATCCTGGCCAGCCAGCATAAACTGCAGTAAACATTTTGTCACTTCTGCAGATCCCTTGAAGTATGACTGCAGTGTACTGCTTCCTGCTGTAATATTCTTGCTTTTCATGATGACAAACTGTTACTTGTATTAATGTCCCATCAACACATCCAAAAACATTTGGAAAGCTGTTTCTGCCCCTTAATGATGAAAAGTTTTTTACCACTTCTTGGGCATCCTTATCAACTGGCCATTTAATGAAAATTTCTTTTAAATTACAAACACCTTTACAAAATACTATGAACAACCTATGAGCATGTCCTTTATCTAGTCCAAAACGGTCACTTACGCCTCTAAAGGATTCCTGATTTCCTAAAATCCATAAGGACAATAGGACGACCTTTTCTTTTTTTACCTCTATAATGGATGGCCGTCCAATTTTCTTCGTTTCTTTTAAATTCAGAATCTGGCAAAGGAATTCGACGCTTTCACGCTGAAGTCTGAAGTGGCCTTTAAAATCCAGATCACTGTATCGAGGAATAATTTCCTCATAATAGTTTTGTATCCTGGCTTTTTTCCGCGGTTGCACCACAACAGAACTTGCCATTCCAGCAATTACTTCGTCGTCATGTTTACGCTTCCTAAATAAGACATTGTATCGCAAAAATGAATTTCTTTTAGAATTTTTCGAATTAAATAATTCGCTAAACATTCCAACAATTGCACTGAGAGCCGCCATTTTGGAACCCCGTGTGCGTTGTTAAAAGACATTCAGCAGCGATCGCAGCGCTCTTGCAGCCTAAGCGGCAGCGCTGCGGAACAGCGCTGAATTTAACAACAACCCGTAATTCTTACAAAAAGGATATAATTTTAAAAAAATATATGGTTAATGTATATCTAGGTAAGTAAAATGGCCGCTCTTCCGGTAATCTCGAATCGGGCTNGGTACCGTAAGTCTAATACAGTACTGTAATTTTATACATTTCTTGTGAAAGAAACATTTCTTATTCAACGGCGATTAAAATTATTTATATTAATGATGTCTCCGAGGTTCAACGAAGTTTTCGCAGAAAAATAATATCAGAAATCGCGGCCGCGGTTTGGTGTGCTGCTTTGCGACGCAAACAAGCTTTAGCAATGGGGTTGCCGAATGGTGCACACTCGGTAAGTAATCCTACAATTTTTCGTTTATAGCGTAGTTTATACGGATTATTTCCAAAAAATATATACGTATTTTGGAAATGTTGAGTCGAATTAGTCTAGAATCGATTCATTTTATGGAAGAAAACCTTTCAAACAGCTGTAGTCCGTAAACTTGACACGTGTTAGGCTGTGATTGGAACGACTCGTAAGAAATCGGATTCCTAAAGAATGGAACGTATCTATGATCTTATAGGGGGGTCGACTATATTTCTTTTGCTCTCACTGCAAAAACTGAAAAACCATAAGTTAATTTACGCTTGACAAATGAACTGAAAATTAATCTTTTTTCTCTTTTTCCTGTAATTATAGCATTTTCCCACGGAAAAAAAAGGCGAAAGTCCCCGCGTGCGTAATCCGAATTTGTCAATTCTTTCAAAAACTGACTCGCGTCATCCCGACCCGAGCGAATAGTTAAATCGAGCCAATGTTTTGGAAAAATTCGAACGTGACCCGAACAAGAACGAAAGAAATAAATGTTATTTAAATTTATGCCGCTTATAAAGTGTACCCTACTGTACTTATATATTCGGAAATTTGACCAGTTGTTTTTTCCACTCGACTTCTGTGCAGCAGCAGGGGCGTAGCCACGGTGGGGCAGAGTGGGGCGTTTGTCGCGAGTCGTAAATCATCGGAAACATCGCGCGAATCCATCGGCAAAGACTCCTACGGAGTTTGGAAAAGATCACTAATTATTCCGTACGTAGATTCATTAATGATGTCTCTGAAACAGCGTTTTTCCGAGGAGAACTTGTCCGCATTCTGATCGTTTACGTTGCACCCTCACGTAAGGCTTGATATGTCGTACGAGGATTTAAATAAAAAACTACAATTTTTTGTACTTGCTACAATTTGAATGATTGAAGCTGAACTTTGGTACAACCAATGGGAAAGAAGAAATGTGCCAAATGCCGAACAGAAGGAGATAGAACCAGCTGCACTAGTTAAAGAAACGCGATTGTTCTACCCATCCAAAAACGGGCGCCTCTTATCTCACTCGCGCTACGTTCGGCACCTTACGCGGGGTAAAAACTTGGACACGGTTAACGATGACAGAAAATCGGCTTGTGCATAAAAAGAGGGTGCTGGAAGCTAAAAATAAATTTGAGAAAGAAATTTTTACAAGATTTAGAAAGAATTCCTGTAGGCTAGTGCTGAAATAAGATTTAGGTAACGTTCGAATAGCGTTGCAACTAATTACTTTTTTAGCGTTTTCAAATGTTCAAATAAAACCATTTTTTAATAAATAACGTTATCCTATTATTGCCTCTCCCTGGAGAAAATCCTGACTCATTTTAGTACCACGGCCGTCTCATTCATAATTCAATTATTTTAGCTTTAAATTTACGGTACGTAAAAGGAAGAGAAATAGGGGCGTGACATCACGATTTTCTATACATCGTGTTTATTATGTTCGATATCACTAACAAAACCGACAATGTGGCTTAAAATCGCGGACAAATCACGAAACAAGAAACAACTTGGCTTCATTCTTTTAACAGCAGCCAGCCAAGTGCTTTTATCAACTATTGTTTGCGAAGAATATATTTCAACTTTTCCCAGAACCATTTCTCTCCCCACTTCAAGTAAGTTCTCGTCGAAAGCAAACGACGAAGATCGTCCTCCAGCTCCTTCGAATTCTCCAACTCTTCCACCAAAACCAAAACCAAACGATAAGCTTGGTCTTCCATCATCCTGTTGTAAGCCACGCGAAACTCCACACTGAACCACATGCTGTCCAGGAACTGTCGAGACAACAATATCACCGTCCTTCTACTGTTAAGTACAGAATGCACGATGTTCTCGCTAATAGGGCTACCCGCCAACCAATCACGTTCGTGAATACAAAGGCGATAAGTGGGTTCCAG